TTTCGTTAATTTAATTATTCTATAATTATTAAACGTCATCTCGTTTTGTACTCTGCGCATCGTTTCCTTTTGCACTTCTTGGATCTACGTATTTCTTTCGCATCACGTTAGCATTACGTTCGTATTATCTTTTTCTTTTCTTTTTTTTTTTTTCGTTTCCTTAAAATTACTTCACGTGGATCCTTCATTACCTTTTCGATTGTTCTTTCTAAACAATTTTATAATAAAATAATCCTTGCAACTTGATCTCGCTCTACGACGATAGACATTACAAATTCTAAGAATAATGATAACATTTACGTTATATAATAGTACCGAAAGATCCACAAATAATTTCAAAAATAAAATGATACATAAATCAACAAACAAACAATACATACAACACGGACGCACACACATACGCATGCACAATCTCAAAACGGCAAATAAGTCGTTCGCTACTCGAGGAATTTCGATGGGCTCGCGCCTTCGACGATGATTAAATTAAATTAATAATAATAATAAAAATAAAAAAAAATAAAAAAAAATAAAAAAATTGGATTTCAATATGATTGGCGGGGAACACGGGGAGAGGGGGAGTTGGTGGTAATAGGTAGGTGGAGTGAGGTGTGCGGACATTGGACGGAGAAAACGAAGATCATTAAGTACCAGCTACTTAGTCTACCAGAACATGAGAAAATAAAGAAGGAAAGATAATGAAAATAATAATAATAATAATAATAATAATAATAATAATAATAATAATAAAAATAATAATAATAATATTAATAATAATAATAATAATAATAATAATAATAATAATAATAATAATAATAATAATAATAAAAGAAACAAATACTACTGGACATGCCATTTCGGTACGCAACACTTTACACAACAACGTACGATGCACAATAACAAGAACAACAATGTACAATTATTCGAAATGCACAGCAATGCCAAGCGTGCACCGCCGAGGGAGGGAAAGAGAAAGAGATAAAGAGAAAAAAAGATGTGGGAGAGAGATAGAAATAGAGAGAGAGAGAGAGAGAGAGAGAGAGAGAGAGAGAGAGAGAGAGAGAGAGAGAGAGAGAGAGAGAGAGTATAGAAATAAAGAAAGAGAGAGACGGAGAAGGAGAAAGAGAAAAGTTTCTTCTTTTTCCCTTTGCTCGAACTCGCGCCTACGTACAATCGTTTCTCCCTTCGCCCTTTTGCACGTCGGCGGAGAAAGCAAAAGCCTTTTCGAAAAAAAAAAAAGAAAAAAAAAATAATAATAATAAAATAAAATAAAATGTTCGCTCGCTTTGTCGAAAGGAAAGGATAGAGTTGGAAGTTGAAACGCTCTCTTTTCGAGAGTATTAGACAGAAAGAAAGATAGATAGATAGATAGATAGATAGAGAGATAGAGAGATAGAGAGAGAGAGAGAGAGAGAGAGAGAGAGAGAGAGAGAGAGAGAGAGAGAGAGAGAGAGAGAGAGAGAGAGAGAAAGAGAGAGAACAAATCTTTTACTTTCGCGATAACATATCATATCCTGCCGAGTTAAACGCGCGAAGAATACGACTAGCGATTTTGAACTAATTCGTTTTCCTCTTTAGCAATTTTACAGGATTGTATATTTTCAAATTTACGATCCTCTTTCTTTCATTTTTGTTTTATTCTATTTTGTTTGTTTGTTCTTTTTTGTTTTTGCTTTTTTTGCTTCGTTTGTTTGTTTCCTGTTTTTTTTTATTTTTTTTTTTATTTTTTTATCTCTTTTTTTTTTCTTTATTTTTAATTTTTAATTTTACTTTATTTTAATTCTCTTGCGTCGCAAAATGATAACGAACAACGTTTCAGCACGGCTGATCTTAAAGCATTAAGATCTTAAGAGGATCGTGATTGTTCTTCGGACAGAATCGTGACTATGCCTATACATATACGATAATATTTATGTTTGTATTATATAAAAATATGTACAGTGTGTCGCTTCAAATAAATATCTTTTTTTTTTTTTTTTAAATTAAGTAGTACAAAAAAGAAAAGGACAGAAAGAAGAAAAAAAGAAACGAAAAGAAAAAAAAAGATAGCAAAATAAAAAAGATCAAAAAAAAAAAAAAAAAAAAAACACAGCGAAAGAAAAAAGAAAAAGAAAAGAAAATCAAAGAAGAGCATAAGGATCCTATTTGCAAAGAAGATACCCAACAATCTCACGGGGTAGTTCATCACAACGAAGAGTTTGCCATTATTCTAAAATCCTACAATTTACAATTTATACAACGTCGATATTGTCTCTACTCCTTTCATTTTTCTACTTTCCTTTTATTTTTTTTTTCTTTCTTTCTTTCATTCTTTCTTTTCTTTTCTTCTCTCCCATCGTACTTCTTATCCTTCTTATCCTCATGTTTTTTCTTTTTTCTTTACCATCACCCCCTCCCACCCCACCCCACCCCACCCTACCACACCCCATTCTCTTATTTTCCATCGCGCATCATTACTGTTGATTATTATTATCGAAAGCAAAAAATTTCATCGCGTCGCGGCGTAAATTCGAAGAGTCAAAAGTGTAGTATCTTATAAATATGATAATGGCTATTTTCATCGAGTCGATCGTCGATCGATCGTGTGCCCACTTTCGAATGGTTTATTTTCTCGGATGTTGGGAAACGAGCGAAGGGTCCGATTAAACGCGCGCGCGCGCGCACGTACGCGCCGCCGCTACCATCGTCGTCGTCGTCGTCTTCGTCATCGCTGCCACCTCCGTCGGTGCCGTTACGAACGAACGATGATTAAGTTGTACAATTAACGATGGTTAATTAGCATTTCTTTCGTGGTTTCACTATTTAACTCATTGATCGACGAACCGTAAACGATTTTAATAACATAGCACCGTTACAAAAATTCCTCCTACGCATTTCGTAATAATGTATTAAATGTAACGTTATACGTGCATACGTATGTTCAAAAAAAAAAAAAAACAATGGCTCTATATTTATAATTCGTTTATATAATATTTAAAAAGAAAAAGAAAGAAAGATAAAAAATCTCAACGTCTTATTTCTTTCAATTTATAACTATGGTTACATATGTATATCGTTGCGAGCAGCGTAATCGTAGATATGAGCTTGCTCAAAAAGTGCAGTTAAATGCAACCCAGAGAAAAAGGGTTGTTTATCAACGATATACCGGAAGTTAGTCTTCAATAAAAAAAAAAAAAAAAAAAAAAAAAAAATAAAGAAAGAAAGAAAGAAAGAAGGAAACAGAAAAAACCGAAGAAAAAGTAGGATAGGCGACGCGCATGGCCACGAACGCGCGGAGGAAATATTTTACATTTCAAAATTGTACTTAAATGTTGTAAATAACTAATAATAAAATGTTATCGTTCTAACGCGTTATATATATATATATATATATATATATATATATATATATATATATATTCGTGTGTGTATATGCGCGTGAGTAAATAGATAATATATTTATATTCCAATATTTAAATATATATATATGCATAAAATGAAAATAATTAAGAAACATAATTCAATAATTATTCTCGTTTCGTGTATTCTACTATAGTGTGAGATGGATTAAAATTTGTTATGTATAATTCGACAGTCCGCACTCATTTTTTTTCTCTTTTGTTTTTCTTTTTTTCCCTTTTAAATTCTTTCCTCGAAAGTGATAAAATGGGCATAAAATAAAAGAAGAAGGTCGCTCGCGTTTCCTCTTTTATACGGCGTTCCCATTGTAAGCAATCGACGGACGATCGATGTCGCGATGGTTTGCCATTATAGACTGAACCGATCTTCCCTTTTTACCGGTTAGCCGAGCGATGGTACGCGCGGTACGACGCGACGCATCTCCTGCAAATAACTCTCCTTCCGTAATACGCGTCGGCTGGACTAGATTTGTGCGCAGAAAAAGGAGCCCTGTAGCCTTTCTTACGCGTCTCTTCAACCTCTTCCGACGTCGAGGACGCGTAGTCGTCGGATCGCGGATATATACCGTTAAAAGTCGTCCTCCAAAGGTTTGCGTAGTCTTTTCGAATCGAATCGAATCTATTCTCAACGATATTTAAAGCGGCATATATTGATTATAATTTATGAGAGATCATCGTTCGACTCCTTGAAAGGACTAACGGAGAACGAATTTAACGGCATTAGAAATAAAAGAAAAATAAGAAATGTAAGTAATTGACAGTCCAAGAGTGATTCAAGTAGAGAATTGAAAGAGATCTCTCGATACGTGAAACCGTAGACTGTAACTGTGATAAAATCGAATGCCCAATGGGCAATAATCCGTGTCGATGATAAAGGGAGAAAAAGCATCCGCGAACCGTTCGACGTATGAAAGCTATCTCTATCTATCATGGACGGAATCGAACGAATAATACACATTTGTTTGAGAGAGAGAGAGAGAGGGAGGGGGAGTAGAGATAAAGATAGAGAGATAGAGATAGAGAAAGAAAGAGAAAGAGAAAGAGGCACCTGGAGAGTCAGTATTGTCAAAAGTAATCGGGGAAGTAGAAAGTAAAATCTGGGTGGTGAGGAGGATGAGGTGAAGGGGGTGTAGGAGAAGAGTCGGGATCGAAGAAGGGTGAGGAATAGGAAGGTAAATAGGAAGGATGACGATGATGAGGATGGGCATGAGGATGAGGATGGGGATGGGGATAAGGAAGAGGAGGAGGATGGGATAGGATAGGGGAGGTGAGGTGGTACTACCGTTGAGGATGCGAATGAGACATATGAGGATGATAGGCCGCATGATGAGGTGGCAGAGGCGAGGGACAGGATTGTTGATACGGTCCACCGGCGAGCATCGGTCCAGGACTGGAACAGGGTACGAGGTGCGAGCTCGGCGATGCCGCATGCGCATGCGCGATCAGATG